GAATTTTCTCTTTTTTTTTTCCTGATTCTCTCCCCCATCTCACTGCGGGGGGCAGTGAGCGAGTGGCTGTGTGGTGTTTAGCTGCCTGCTGGGTTAAACCACAACATCAGGGTTAACAATTGCACAGTATCTCCCTTGTTAGGAAAAGCACTTTATCTGGAGTTTCTGATCCACACTGACCCCAAGCTCTTTTGAAGTGTGGACCAGAATGGGTCATTCTGATCTACTGCGATTTGGGATTTGCTTATTCCTCATTCTTCTACATGTTTTTCATTGCCCTCCCAGAAACAAACAAGTCTCTTATCCTCTTCTTCCTCTACAAATTCTTGCCTGATACCTTCTGAATCATTACCTCTTCTGGCGCATATCTGATTTCAGTTGGAAGGCGGGGAGCAGGGTGTGTTGTATTCTGCAAGGGCATATTCATCTGGAAAGAAGAAAGGAAGATGACATTTGCATGAGAGTGAGAAATCATTCTGACCTCAGCCCATGTGCACTTGTGATTAACACATTATGAACCAGAAAACATTTGATAGATTTTGTGGTAGTCTTCCAGTTGTCAAGGCACCCAGTTGCAGGGGTGCACAGTCAGAGCCCGATGCACTCCTCTGGCCATGTTTGTCAGGACACATCATTGCTGTGACTGCGCAGGATGTGGATCAGGTGGCAGACTAGGCACTCCAGGGTCAATTCTCTGGATACTGCTGCTCATCTGCTAGGATGCAGTTCCCAAAGGTTCTGCCAAGCTTGAGAAAAGCATGGGGTAACCTGAGCCACAGTTTTGGTAACATAAATTCCACAACTGGGTAATGACTGATGCAATTTTAGTTCCTTGAGGCCAGATAGAGAAAGGTGGTCAGGCACTTAATTTTCTAGTTAGGTGCTTAAACTCCTGTTGGGTTCAGTGGGACTGTCATTCCTACTTAAGTATCTAAATTCCACTAAGGAACAGTTCTCTGACTGCAGCCTACTATGGCAATATAAAGCAAAAATATGAGATAAGCCAGACCAGGGAAGTCAGGAACACTGCTGCCTTTGAGTTATTGATTTTAACCATTGTGTTCAAACTGTAGAAAGAAAGTGCAACCACACTTCTTCCTGTATGTAGTTTGTAAGAAAGCAACTCCTGATGTATAACTCTCTAATCTGCTTTATGTTGAAATGAAGCAAGAAATGAAAAGGGGGGGGGGGGGGCAGAAACTGTCTATGCTTCTGCAAACCGTTTGCAGTCTCGTAATCAAAAGCAGCAGAATTGCTAGCTTGCTCTCCATTTGCCTCTCCTGAAAAACAAAGGCAGCAAATGCAGAAAAATGAAGAGAAACTTGCACAGAGAGAGCAAGGGAAAATCCACTGTTGGCACCTTGTAAATGCTGACATCAATACTTTGATTTTACAGGTTTTGCTTCAGCCTACTGAGGTCACCTACCTGTTTCATAGTAATCATACATATGTACTGGCACTGGTCTGATATCTGAGACAGGCAGGCTTTGCTCCACACTAAAGGAGAAGCTGATTTCCTTCTGGGACACCTGGAAATGGCAAACAAGAAAATGCATCAGACTTTTTCTTTTCATACCTACCCCTGAGGCTAAGGTTGAACAGATGCATTTCTGGGTCAGACTGGGTGACAAAGTGCCATTCTACAGTTCTCTTCAGATTGTAAACTCGATGTCAAATCAGATAACTGATTAAAAGCTGCTGCTAAATATGTTTTCTTGCTAAAATTGTGTGCTTTTTTTCTTTCTTCCTCTTCATATTTCCATTGCCAATTACCCCAACCATTCCCTGGTTTCTGAGGCTTTCAGCACATCAGCATTCATCTTCTCACTGGAAGTTGCTGTTAGTTTCTTTCTTTGCCTTTTCCCAGCTAAAATCACCTTCAGCATCCCTATGAATCTTCTCCCCACTTTTCTCTCTTTAATCACATTGAACTCAAGATCCCCATCCTCCCCTGTGGTTCTGTTCCTCCTTCCACATTCTTGCAGCCAAATGTCCCAAACTTTCCTCCTTGTTCATCTTCCTCAGCTTCAAGCTTTCTCCTGCGTGCCTGGGACTGTGCCCCTGCTCTCTTTTCCCTTTGTCCTTGTTTTTGTCTTGCTGATCTCTTTATAGGTATGGAGCCATGGACAGGGGCTCTGGAGGACTTTCTGCATCACTGGTGCCCTGCTGGGTAAACTTTACATCTCAACATCTCAGCTTCTCTGTGAATTCAGAATACTGACTCCAATCTTCCTTATTAGATCCTTGGAGATCAACTAATAAAAATTAGTGTTTGAGAGTGTTGTGGCTGAAACCAGGACAGAGAGGCAGATATTATTACTATTTATTTTTGCTTCCTCTCTCCTTCCCTTCTTGGTATTTTAAGTTCCCTTGAGTTTTGATTTTCATCTTTCTCCTCTCTCATTCCCTTTATTAATGTCATTGATGTGGGAGGGCTATTCTTTTCATACAGAAATCTCTCCAGAAGGGAGAGGTTGACACTGACTCCCTGTAAAACACTCTCAGATCAACTGATGAGAAACATCGGAGGCTGAAGAATATTATGTAGACTGGAAACTTTTGCAATATGGAATGCAACTTGTGAAATGCTATTTAATCATACAGCATTCTTCACAAAAAGTAATAAATACGTATCTCTTCACTGTAGACTACAACTACTGTGTATATATGTTTGATGTTGGACTGAGTGAAGTCCCTTTATGTCTTTAAGACGTGTATTACTAATCTGCTATTAATGAGATTATTCTTTTATCTGTTTTAAACTTCCAATTTAATAAAACCAAAAAGAAACCTCCCAAACTTACCTTCTGAAGATAGAAGAGGATGTGGTTGTTCTTGATGTCTACGCGATCCACAACAGAATGCTGGTACTGAAACTTTAAGTAAGGCAAATGATAGCAATGTTAACATAGGAGACTTGCCAAAGAGACTTACAAATAACTATTCGATAGCAAAGTATGTTTAAAGTGGCTGCCATTCTCCTGTTGTGCCACCCTGACATCTCGTGGCCAAAATAAAAAATGCCAGTTGAGTATTTTCATAACATGACGAGTGCAAACCAGTCACAATGAAAAATAGTTTTACTAGTCAGCTTTGCTGTATGTGACTTTTCTCATTAAGAGTGCTCTTATTTCAATGAGAATTCACAATTACACGACCATTTTTGCAGCTCAAGCTGACTCACTTTCTAGTACATTGTATATTTTAAAAAACAAAAGTTTAAAAAAGTTTTAGAAAAGCACATGAGCAAAATTATTTTACCATAAAAATACACAAAAATAAAATATTCCAAATGTTAAAAACCAGTTATTTTTTCCCATACATACAAAGAGGAGTACATATAAAGTACATATAAGTACATAAAGTATATATAAAGTACATATAAGTACATAAAGTATATATAAAGTACATATAAAGAGGAGTAGGATGCCAAGCAGTGTAACATCTCAGTGGAAAAATCTTCTAAAGAAAAGTTACTAATTTCTTACAGTTCTAGTCAAAAAAGAAATTCAGACCTGAATGCTGAATAGTTATAAATGCACCTAGCTATGAGTAGACTCTACAACAAATTGCATCCTTTTTATCTACTTGAAGATTAAGGCTCATGGCTTGAAGATAATGCATCTGTCGCAGAACCTAAATTGCACTAGGAACTGAAATGAAGTGCTTATCAATGCTCTCCCCAGAATTGTCATCACTGTGACCAAATTTCTGGATAATAAAGGAAGAGCAATACCCGCTTTTTCTTTGTTTGTTAAACTGTGCTGTAGAGGAAGGGATAACCATGTCGAAGGGATAACCATGTCAAAGGGATAACATTGCAAAATGCCCATTTGATCAATTTACCTATGGCAGAAGTATTTCTTACATAGATTCTGTTAGGTTGTGTGATTAAAGGCTCAGCCACACAAACACAAAGGAGCACAGAGGAACAATGGCAGGCAGGGAAACCCCAGTAACCTGAGCAGGGCCACTGGAGCACCCTGACCCGGTTCCCCCCAGGGCTGCCACAGGGCAGTGACCAGCCCCATTGTGGGGGAGTGAGACCCACCAGGTGAGTCAACAGCAGAGTATCCCTGGATCACCTTACTGACTTAAGAGGAATGCTGCCTACGGAGGCATGGGGCTGACTATGGGATGCTGGGACTCACAGGAAGTTTAGGGGAAGAACCAGAAGTAACAAGGAGAGGCATAAAGTCCGACTGGGAGGAAAAAGCATGGGAAAATGGGACAAAAGTGTGGGAAAATGGGATAAAAGGGGCTGGTCACACGTAAACAGGTTGGTGGTCAGTACACTTGTCTGGCCATGCCCTGCACCTGGTCACCACAGTCTCTCCTCTCTTCTTATTGAACTCTGTTCCTGATTATTTTCCTGGGTGAGGGGCTCCCTTTTCTGTGTGCATGTGTGTGTATGGAGTGCAAGCCACTGAAGAGGGGACCACAGACCACAGGGACCATGTGTCTAGGGTGCCAGCTTCTTGAGAGGCCAGACTTCAGGCCTGTTGTTTGTGGGTGTGTGTGTCAGTGGGTGGTCGCTAGTGAATATAAAGCTGGACTAGCTGGTGAGTAAGTTAAGTGGCTTGGCAGCCACCTACTGAAGCAGGCATAAGCCTGGGCCAAATACTGAAGATACCAGAGGATCTGAGTTGGCTACAGGAGGGACCAGGAGGTCCGAGCCTGTTAGTGGAAAGACCATAAGGTCTTGGGGGCAGATACTGGTCAGGCCATTGGGCTGGACCAGCTACCAGACTCATTTGTGTGTGTTTGTGTGTGTGTATGTGTCTGCGTGGGGCAACTGGGAGACCAGGGGATCCAAGCCCAGCTGCTGCAGAGACTGCATGTCTAAGGCTGGTTACTGGAGGTACCCACCATGCACATGTGTGGGTGCTGGGGGGCTCAGTTCCAGCCACTGGAGTGGGGCTGCAGCCTCGAGGGTGGATATGTCCATGTGCCAGTGACCGGTTAGAACAAGGATCCAGGGGCAGTTACTGGGCAGACTGAATGTCTGAGGTCAGCTACCGGAAGGATCCACATCGTGTATTTGCATGTATATATGTGCGTCTGTACACGTATTTATTTATTTATTTATTTAACTTTTCCACAAATGAGCTTTCAGTCTGATCAGCCAGAAAGGGGAACGGGATAAGGCCATTTGTGTTACCTGTGTTTGTGTAAGTGCTGTCTTTTCTGTCTCTGTTGATCTGCGTGGCCAGCCATGTATATATGTATTTATGTATATATATGTATAGTGTGCATGTCTGCCTATTGGGAATACACACTTAGCCTTGCTGTTGGCTGGACCTGGGGATATGAAGCTGCAGCAGTCTCACCTCTGTTGGGCTACTGGATTTGGCAACTCCTAACAGATTTGTTTTCAACAGATGAACAGCTACAAGTCTGAGACACAGAGTATGTGACAGAAGGCTACGCCCAGGGACTTTGCAGAATTCCCATAGGGCTCCAATTTGCTAATCAGAGACTATTTTTATCCACTTCCTATGTTTTCAGGGTTTACCATTCACTTTGCTGCCATTCTTTACCTTTTTCAGGGAAGATCTTACAGGAACAAAACCTGAGAGCATCTTCACGTCAATAATAGCCATGTTGGAGACTTTGCGGTTTCCTGTGTAACTAAAATGAGAAAAGTTGTGTTAGTCTGGTCTGCAAATGGACAGGAGACCAGTGAATGACATTTTCAGCTCCAAATGATCCTGTTTGACTTCCTGCAGCTGCACAGTAGCAGTTAACTGCCTGTACTCAAATCCTTCCTTGGATGCTTTACCAAACTGTGAATGCGAGGGGGTAGGTCAATAAGAAGAAGTTACCTGGCAGAGAGGACAAGGTCAAACTTTGGTGGGAAGTTGCTTGTGCAGGATACATTGGCAGGCTGTACGGACAGAGAAAATCCTGCAACTTTTTTTGGCAAATGGATGTTGTATCTCAGAGTGGTCTAAAAGAGATAGGAAGTGTGAGATGGTCACAGACTTACAGGTTTTTGTGGCTTTGGCATGAGGTATGGAGGGGAATGAGGTATAGGGGACCCCCTGTTTAGTTCTCAGAGGGGTGGTGCTGAGTTTCCAGCTTGCTTACCTGCAGATAGACACAGCCAGTGCCATTCACTTCCACACTGTAATTCCCTGGAATAGTGGGTAAGGAAGCCTGCTGCAGTAAGAAGCGGTTCTTGTCATTCACCTGGAAAGTCTTACTGGGGAACTCCGTGAAGTTGACTTTGACTGTGTTAAGACTTGTTTTAGAGAAGGTGAGGTATCCATACTGGGCTAAAGCTTGAAGAGCAACAACAGTGTCCTGAAAAGAACAACGTGATCCCTAATTAGATAGATACCCAGCTGTAAGATGGTGCATGAGGTTAGCACAGCTCCTATTTCCCTGATGCTTTGTCAGTGCTCATAAATGGAGGGGGACTTTGCAAAGACCTAAGGAGACAAGATACAAGTTCTGGGGCAATAGATTTGAATTATCCCAGAAAACCTGGGATAATGCTGTGTCAACAGTGACTGCTGTCTACTGCTAACTTGAAACTCTGGTAAATTCCCATTTTCTAAAACTAAAATGTGTATGAAGCTGCCTATGAAAAGCATGATGTGCCTTGACAAGGAGACTTATGCGAGCACCATTCATCAAATATTATTCAAACGAATATGCAGTCAGGAAGATATGTCATACTATCGAGATCCAGCTTGCAGGCTGGACTACTCCCAGAAGCTTTCTTTTTACCACACCCAGTTGTTACCTGGCTGGAGGAGAAACCGCCATATGGGTTCTGTTGTTTGACAAGCCAGTGCACAATGCGAGAAATGTAAGATAAGTCTTCTGGAGTGAGTGTGGCTTTGTTGAGCAAAGCCAGGAGCACATAGCTGGTCATTTCAATCTCAGCAGAAGGGGCACGGGAATAGAACACAGGAAAATGTTCTGCTGGTGGCTTATTTTCTCTTTGCCAATGAACTGAACCACCTGAAAACAGAAAAGTAGGGTGTAAAAAGCATGGAAAAATTACTTGCTGGTTAATTCACTACAGCATCCCATGGGAGATACGTATACAATTCCCTCTCTGCCTTTACCCAAAAGTTTTTTCAGCCATCAGTGTCCTGAACTGGGTAAGTTTTAGTTCCAGGATGGAAAAGAAAACAGGAAGGGATGGAAAGGGAATTAATAAAAGGGGGCTGTAAAAGTCAAAGGGGTTGAAATGAAGGCAGCGCAGCAGAAGGATGCTAAGGCAGCCGTGGACTGGAGCACATGACATAGTCAAGGGAACTGGGTTTGTGCAACGTGTAGTAGAGGAGGCTAATGGGGAAACTAGGTACAATCTTCCACTACCTTGGACTGAGACTTCCAGGAATCTCTCCCCACCTACACTATTTCATAATTCTAAGAAAATCAGGCCAGAGCTCAATCTTTTGTGAAGCCAAAAGAGACAGACAGAGAAGTTCATAGAGATAAATTCAGTAGCATAGCAGGCATGAAATGGGAAGGGAGCAGCATGAATAAGAAAACTGTACATCAGAGTAGCTTACATTGTACCACAGGCCATTCTATTAGCTGTATTGCCTGTATCATGGCCATATTGCACTTACCATCTCTGGTAGCTTTCTTGTCCAGCTTCTCAAGGAAGAATTGCCATCTTTTCTCGTTGTCAGCTAAGCCGTAAGCATAGGCAAAGAGGGCCTGGTTATATAGGTTGTGGACCCCATTACCAAATGCAGTCTCCAAACAGTTCATGCCACTCTGAACGACAGGATGCTAGTAATGCAAAACATAGTAGGGTTGTCAGGTACTTGGATTTGTGTCTCAGCTTCTCTTTAAATACTTCCATCACTGCTTAAGCTGACATCACTGACCCTTCATGCTGAAAAGTTACATGATCCGTGGCATGTTTAAGGGCCTACAGTGTGTATCCTGTGAAAAATGCCCTTTCGGTGGCGCTGCCTTCTTTCTGCATTTATTTAGAGGCAACATGGCTGGACTAACAGAGCACTTGTGACTGACTTGTGAGATGACCTTATGCAGGTCATCCTTTATCCCTTGGTTGCTTTAGCTCTAAAACATGGATCATTTTTACAGAACTACGTAAAGTATATTGAGACCTCATGATGAAGCAGGCTTTCTCAGATGGCTGTTATTACTCATTTGCTAGCTATAGCTATCAAGAGAACTCTTCAGTCCTTTTACCCTATCTCTGTGAGCTCTACTTCAGCTCAGACATCACCAGCACACTACTAACCATGTCCTGCCTATGCAGCTTCACTTATAGATGTGGCACGAGGTTTTGGAGCTTCTTATGAAGATATTGGGAACTAAATTCATGTTGCTGAAGAACTATTTGATTCTGCACAATGTTTTATCCTGCTGGTACTTAAATGATGCCCCATACCACAGTATCTGAGGGACATGCAAAACTCAGCATGCCTAGAACATATTTGCCAGATTGGGAAGAATTCTCATCTTCCCCATTTTACAAAGAACAAAAAATCAGTAAAAACCAGGGTCTCAAGGATATGCAGGAAGTGTATTACAGAGAACAGAACTCAGCTCTTATTCCCCTGTGCCTAGCAAGTATTCCAACCAGCAGACCATTGTTTCCTTCCATTATTAACAATGACACAAGGAAACGGAAACATAACTTGGATCTAAATGCACAGAGAGAGTTTGTAGGACTGAAGATTTGGATAGGTTGGACTTTGGACTGGGCAAATACAGAGAAAATTCCAAATTTGCCCACTCTGCATGGAGTGGGCAAATTCAGTCTGGATTTTGCACCTACATAGACTACCATTGTTTAACACAACTGGATTCCTCAGGGATTTTTCAAATTGATCCATAGGAACTGGATACATAACTGATTTGTAACACTCATCAAATATTTATGGCAACTGCAGCGTTCTGGAAACAGATTTCCTCAGCTGACCCAACTGTCCTACCGTCAGTATTTACCACATTGTTAAAGAATACAGATGTGAAGACTATGACTTGTGCACTGTTTGACAAATGGCTGTCTGGACTAATAGAGCATAACAGCATCAAATACCTACCGCAGCAGAGTGTCCAGCCTCCAGCAATGCTGCCACAACGTAGGCTGTGAGTGAGTATTCACCTTCTTCTCCATCCTGAAGAAAACATAAGCAAAGAACAGGTCAGTACAGGTATCCTAGAAAGAAACAAATTATTAATTAATTCATAGTTCAGATACCAGTTAGATTTGACATCAGAAATAATTTCTGTCTCCCTGTGTGCACAGGAATAAGAAAGATGAAGTTCACTCAGGATAAAGCCAAAATTATTTCATGCATTTTCTTGGCTTTTGCACATATGCAATAAAGCACATTATAGCCTGTGGCTGAACACATAATGCAGTGGTGGGAAATAAAACCTGAGACTTCTGACTCAGAAAGTTCAACTTGTTTCTACCTCATCATCAATAGCAGATATAAGAATCACGCCTTGCTTGTATACAAGAGACACGAGAGAACAGTACTAGGAAGAGTAAGGGTGTGGTGATAACTTGTGTCTGGCAGAAATGATCCAAATCAATCCCAATGCCAGGACTGGAAGTTTGGGACTATACTTGTCTCAGTTACCTTCAAAGCATTATTGAAATGTGACCCAGCATTTTCAAAGCAGCCATCTGACTTCTGCTTGCTTGCCAGCCAGATTAAAGTTTGAGACTGGACGTTGTCATCGATGTAGATGTAGCGTCTGGCTTGTGCAAATGACTTGTACACAAAGGCAGTGAGCCTGAGGGTGAACCAGAAACAGAAAGCAGGTAAGACATGAACAAAACCAAGAAGGTTTACCAGCAACTGGATATGCATAGAAAATTATATACAATGAACTCCATAATGTCTGAGGTAAAAGAAACAAGTGTTTTGTAAGTTTTAAATAAATAAGATAGTTAAAATCCTGATATTAAAAACTGCCCTGAGGTTTCTCCATTAGTGTGGTGAAACCATTCTTTCAGAGCAGGGGTAAAGTATAGACACAGGTTGATGATTGATGATAGTAATTTCTAATCTTAATTAATAGAATTATGAAATAAACTAGGTGGGAAGGAACCTCTGGAAGTCTCCAGTCCAACCACCTGCTTAAACTAGGGCCAACTTCAAAGCTCAGTCAGGTGGCTCAGTCTCTTGTCCGATCATGTTGTGAAAATCTCCAGGGATGGAGGTATCCACATCCTCTCTGGGCATTTGTCTCAGTGCTGCAGCCTTCTCCTGGGGAAGATTTTTTTTTTTTTTCCCTTCTACCCAGCTGGAGTTTTCCTTGTTGCAACTTGAGTAAGGACAAACTCTTGTCTTTACTCTGTGCTCCCCTGACAAGAGTCTGACTCTGTCTTTTCTGCAGTCCCCATCTAGGTAGCGGAAACTTTACCTAGGTTCCCCATTAGCCTCCTCTTCTACTGGCTGAACAAACACAGTTCCTTCAGCCTCCACTTGAACATTATGTACTCCAGCCCCCAGTCATCTTATCATCCGTCTGTTGCACTCTCTCCAGTTTATTACTCTCCTTTACTAGGGGATCCAAATTAATTGAGCTATGTTCATTTAGTCTATTAAAAATAAGAATCACTTAATACTTTGATCATTTTTCAAAGGCTAAAGATCCTGCACTAGGGAAATAGAAAGTGTCATCACTTACCATACACTCCCTTCCCTATCTCGGGTCCCAAAGGAGCTGTAGGATCCATCCCGGTGTTTGTATGATAGCTGTTTTTGGTACCCTGGAAACACAATAAAGAAGACATATTTTCTAATCACAGAAAAGCCTAGTTCTGCTGTTTATTCAACTGAAGCAGTAAGACTTTTGGATTTAATATTAAGTAATGTATGTGTGGTAAGTAATGTCAGCTACTATGAATTTTAGCTGCTTTTGCTCCTGGAACTATGACATGCTTCTTTGTAGTGCTGTCATTGCCTGCTCCTATGCAATAAACATGGTGCTAGAATTCAGAGATCAGTGTTCACCATGTAGAGCTTTAGAGTTCAATACACACAATCACAATATTAGTTTGAAGACTCTGAAAGCCTCTCACCTGTGGATAAATATCCAGTACCCTTGACTCTAATCTCTTCAGTAAGCTGCCCAGTCTTATTCAGATAATCAAGGGCATAGATGTTGGGTGTGAACAAGGCCATGTTCTGTTCTCCGCAGCCATAAGGCATATGGAGGAGGTTCTCCATGTTCCTCAGGGCTGTACCCAAAATGTCTCCTGAAGAATGAAAGATATAAGAAGTCAGTTCAGTTCAAACATGTTTTTATTACACAGCATTATACATTTTTATATTACCTTATTATGAACCCAAGGGCAATGACCAATAGACAGTAATCACAGCAACCAAAGACACATCTTAGAAGAAAGGCTGAAATGCCCCCATTTTTTATTTTGATGCAGGACACCTGGGAGAAACTGAGAATTTGAGAAAAAACTGAGTACCAATACTGGCTGGCATGGGTTCTGAGAAACAGCTATGAACCCTTAGAATGGGTAGACTTCCCTGCCCTTTACGACCTGCTTCCCATTTTGTGTGTACCTGTGAGAATGATGTGTGGGGTATGATGCTGATGGGCTACAGAGGCTGTATTGCACAGTATCAGCACACCTCACACTGACCCAGGCATGAAAAACAACCGTGTTTAGAAAACAATCTGAGTTCAGAACCCCAAAACATTTCCACTGAACAGAACTGTCAGTCCTAATAATGATTTTAAGATTAGTAGAGTTGATAGGGACCTGAAAGTCTTATTCTATGGGAACTTATCGACTGACAAATGTTTTTCATTATGAGAAAGCATAAATTTGAAATTATGCAGTCAGCCAAGTTCTGAAGTCTTCTTTTCAAGAAATCAAACTATTTTTTTTCAGAGAAGTCTGCCTTAATCTTACTTTTCAGCTGAATTAACTGTTTTACTATACAGAACAGGATATGCTAATGCAGTATAATATGAAATGCAATATAAGTTGAAATAATTTGACTATTCTGTCCTCTTTTGATATGAGAGTATTCTGAGCAACTTTTGTCTTTCACTGCCATTTTGCAAAGTAGGAAATGATTCCTCTAAAATCAAGATTAAGTATTTCCTCAACTTTATATTAGTTTTGCACATGTATATGCAAATTGATGGCACTTGGTGTAGCACAAGAAAAATGTCATTTACTTTTGGTTTTAGTCTAAGTACTAAACTTACCAATGACAGAAAAATAAGCTCTGGCTGATCCCTGCACTAGGTTTCTTGGAAGGCTGAGAGACACTGGTTCAGAAATCGTTATGCCTGATGAGAAAATATAACAACAAGAATTGTTAAAATAATCTTTTTTCCAGAAGTCTTCACTTTGTAAGCATTACTACAGTGACTGCTACGATCTGCAGTCTGGGTAAAGAAAATGCTGCAGAGACTTGCCCAATGAGTCAAAGGCATGTCTGAAAATCCTGAATTGTGGCCCAGCACCTTGACCCTGAGACCCTCTTTCCTCCCCTGGAAGGGTCTCTGATTTTGTAGGACAAAACCTACAAGACAGTGAAGCAGTTCCACTGACTCCCTGGAATGAATGAATGAACTTGTCTTACCTTTCGTACAGACGAGGGAGCTCTGAGTCAATTCCTTTTTAATACCTTCAGGCTGATTAATTGCAGGGAAGTGGTCAGGAAGAGGAAGAAAAGTGTAGAATATCGCGATGAAACCGTGACAATTCAAAGGTGTAAAACAGTATGTGGATATGGCTATCCAGACAGTGCACCCCTTGTACCCAGTCCTACCCTATCTCCACTAAAATATCTCTTGGTCCATGGCTCCCTCTCTTTTACCCAACACCCTGTCCAGAGCACATTCTTTCTTAGAAAGCAGTTATAACATAGACATTTCCAGCCTCTGAGAGGGACTCTGTCCAACTAATCCTATGTGGCTGCTGCTTTATGATGCTTAAGATAAATCTTTTTCCTTCTATATCTGCCCTCCACCCCCCTCCCCAGTATTAGAGTCACAGGCTAAAGACATTTACAGGTAAGGTATGGATTCTTCTCCCTTCTGGCTACATCTCTACCAACATCCGTGGGGTGTCAGGGCATGTATGCTCGTGGTCCCAGAAAGGAGACAGTGGCAGGAGGACAGTGGATGCCACTGATTGTTGTGATTTACACTCTCATTTTCACGTGGAGAAGCCTACTGTACACAGCTCCATCTGTGTCAGCTGCCTTGCCTCCTTACACTAGCTAACTGCTTCTAACCCACAGCTATAGGAATTGCAGTTTCCGCAAAGCAGAAAGTACATGCAGATTTCCTACCATACCTCAACAAGTAGGGTTTGAATCAGGGTGTCCCTGTGAATTGTCTCCTCTTCTGGGGGTATTTTGTTTCCAGTATCTCTGGTATTCAGTTTGGCCTCAGCAGTAATCGTGAATTTCACCTCACCTGGAAAGCCACCCACCAGCCCAAGAAAAGAAAGTTATCATCTTCAATATCTACAGTTACCCCTGGTTTTCACTGCCTCTTCTAGGCTGATGTACTGCTGAGAAATGTATTCTCTCTGAAGGCAGTTCAGTAGAAACAAATTTCATGAAGGCTCCACGTCTGTCTGCTAGTGGCAAGGAATGGTTGCCTGGGGTCCTAGCATGAGCAATGAAATAGGGGTGATCCTGGCCAAAAAAACGATGGTACTCACTACCAGTTTCCACCTCTTCTTAGCCGTGTGTTGACTTTTCTCTGGCCTAGGGCAGTGTTGCAATAGTTATAGCTCTGCTGCCTCTTTCCTTCAGGTGGAATTTGTTAGCTGAGGGACAACACTGCGGAGCAGCCTCAGTGCTGCTGCAGCACTGAGGAGCAACCCTGAAGTGAGCAGCTTTGCTGGTGTTGCTTACTTCACCCCTGCAATCATTGCAAACTGGAAATCCAAAGGAGTTTTTTACTTGGAACAAAATGCATTATTATCAGAGTTACCAGGGAGAGACAGCAGCTTTCTTTTTTTCAGCTCTGCAGTATTATTTCACTGCATATCCAGTTTTCATCTCACTGTAACTTTGCATCTTTCTCAGTGAGTTTGAAGGAAATCAGTCATATTGAATATAGTGTTTTAGAAACAACCTTTTAAAGAAAAGGTCCATTTGTGGTTCATTTTGAGAAGAATCTTTGCTAATTAAAAGTTTTTTGTACTTCAACTTTTGGGGCACTTACACATGCAAGCCATTGTAACTGCTTTTTTTAAAAGAACGTTGACTTGAAGGCAGTGTGAATTAACACAGCTGTAAAACTGGGGAGGAGCAATGTCCTCTTTGCCTGTTGAGAATCCAGTCCAAAATTATTAGCAAATTTTTTTCTTACTGAATACAGTTGGTTAGGTGCAAAACTGTCAGCTGAAAGATCATAGGCACATGAAATCCTGCCAGTATTTCATACATAATGTGGCAAGTGAAGAGTTCTTCCTAAAATGGATAGGAAATGGACTACCAAAATCAGAAGAGATAAAACACCAGAACAATTCACTGCTTATTCAGTGCATCTAAGGGAACTTTACCGGAGGTCCAATACTAAATTTGTGGAGCAATTAATGGAGCTGTCCAGAATTGCCTGCCTGTTGATTATTGATGCTGCATTAGAGGGTGGGAGTGATAGAGGTAGAAAGATCAAACAGGGATATATCAAGGTGATTAAAAGACAAACTTACCAAGTTTGCCAGGGCTAACAGCCCAAATATAGGTTTTTCTTTCATTGGCACACACCCTTGCTGTATTGCCCTCTGGTGAAAGGATTTCTGCCTTGTAGTCACTCGACTTTGCCAGTATGGCACTGATCTGAGACAAAGAAAGAAGGAGCAAGATTACAAATGAAGTAGGCTGCTCCTAAAGTCAGGCTGCAGGGCAAGGGGGACTTGCTGGAGAAGCTATTTGTCATCTGAATCTGTGGGATGGTACCAGGACAGAAGCATGGGGCATTTCTCTGAGGAAGTGGCAAACCTGTCTCTTTTCTGCCCACTGTTAGTGCCTGTTTTTGACAGAAGTATACCAAGGTGTCTGTGCTCATTAGTCAAGTCTTCTTATGAGTTACTGTTACATACAACATACTCAGTACGTATTGTGTTTTGCACAGCACAGTACCCATACCCTCTGCTCAAGTTCCTCCTTCAGGAGTGAAAAGAAGAACTAAATTATGTAGGGATAAGAAGCAAGTTCTTCTCTTCCGTGGACAAGCCACAGTGATCATCGGCCACATTTTCCTAATGTTATGACACAGGGACAGGTCCAGGGAGAGAGGGTGAGAGAGTAACATGTCAGGCTAAAGTGTAAGTTAAACACTCATTTCTGCATTTCTGATGCATTATGCAGGAGAATGCTGGGATGACTGGGAAATAGACAAACCATATAGGAACTAAAAGGGAACTTGACATACCTGGATGCATTTGTTGAGGTAGTTGAAGACATTGGCTATTAAATTAAATTTTTCCCCTCGAATGACCGAGTATGGCAAGGTGAGATCCACAAAGAATGGTTGGAATGCTGTCAGTGAAACAGGTGAAGAGATGCCAAACCCAGCATCATCCTGCACGCAGAAAGCGCTGGCTTTCCATTCTGTGATGGTGTCAGGAATGGTGTAAAAGACATTGACGTCTCCCCTGGAACTGAGAAAAATAAGAAAAACAGAATGAGAAATTATCTTTGGCATTTTCAAGCCAAATTATAGAATAGGCTCCCTGCTTGGAGTTAGTACTTCTGTTTTCATCTCACTTTCTGCAAGATGCCACTCCATATTTAAAAAAATATTATAAAGCTGGAAGTAAAGATGAAGGTGCTGGTGAACTACATGTTAAAAGGCACTTGGAAGAATACTCAGCTTTTCTAAATTAGAAATACCTTTTGTTTAAATTCCATAATGCCCAAACATACAAATTAGAATCAATAAATTTAGATTAATGTTCTAGAACAGCACCTGGATAAATAGTTAAGATGGAGATATTCTCATTTCAGATACTATGATAGCCTGGAAAGAAAAACAAAATAACCTGAGTTTTCTGCTGCTGAATTAAAAAATATGATGAAAAATAGCAAGTTTTGCTCCTCTTTCCTAAAGAAATGCTCTTATTTTACTCTTAGCCCTTATTCTTTCTCACCATCAGAAGGATAGGGGGCAGAGCACAGAGCAGATGTCATTCACAGTTCAAGTAGGTTTGGCATTGTGTACAAGGTTGGGAGCTTAACGGTCATTGAGCAAGATGGGAAAAGGAGATCCACACCTAGAAAGCAGACATATGTTCCATGGCTTCTCCCCAGAATTCATTTCAGCAACATGTATCAACTCAAAAATCCACACAAGAGGTAAGAAGTGAAGATAAAAATACTCACTCGGTATGAACGAGATCCCAAATCCAGGTCTCAGGGAAGAATTTCCGAACAGTGTTAATACCACCCCCAGCAAGAATCCTTGACTCATCTAGAAGGTTGTGTATGGTTAAAGTATAATATTAGAGAGGTCAGTCCAGAAGAATCTGAACTGCTGTCAGACATGCTCAACACCATAAATGAATATTAAGTATTCCATTTGAGCATTTTTTCCATTCTTTTTCACATAAAAAAGGAAAATTCTAACAGATATAGGGTACGAGAAGAAACAATTTCTTACCTATTCTCTTTTCCCATGGAAAAATACTAGAAAATTTAGCTATTTCACAAGATGTTTCACTTTATTTCATATTGAAAGGTCTCATCATCCAGTTAGAAAGGCATATTCCCTGTCTCTACCACTAGCTCTCTTTGATTTGCAAAGCTTATAATGCTTTACAAACCTCCCTGAGAACACAATCATTTTTACCATGTTCAGTAGTTAAAACTGGAGCTGAATATCAGTCCATTGGAAAACTACTTTTGTTCATATAGTCAAACTATAGGTCTGCTATGAGGAACCGAGGCCTACTTTCCAGTTTTACCATGGACTCAATTGTGATGTCCAACAACTCATTTAGCATGGAGGTACCTCAGATTTCCTAGCCATATCATGGAAATAACAATACTTTCTTATTTTGCTGGACTTAGAATCATAGAATCACAGAATCATTGAAAAAAATCTAGGTTGGGAGGAACCTCTGGAGTTCTCTAGTCCAATCCCCTTGAAGTAGGACTAACTTCAAAGTCAGATCATGTTGCTCAAGAGTCTTGTCCAGCTCAATTTTGAAAACCTGTAGCAATGGAGATTCCAAAACCTCCTGGAGAACCTCTTCCAGTGTAGCACAACTCTCATGGGGAAGAACTTTTCCTACTGTTGAATAGCAATTTCCCTTGTGGCAACCTATGACTGCTACTTTTGCTCTTTTGCTGAGCAATCTGACTTGGAGAAAGATAATCATAACTCTTGCTGATCTATAAAGTGCTTTGGAGACTATGTGCTAAGTATGCTAAGTGCTGTGTGAATTCTTAACATTGGGAATTGCCGTTATTTTTCTGCACTGACATTTCTTTTTAAATATTTAATTGAATTGTGATTTGATGAAAGGTTCCAACCTGAAAAACCCTGAAAAACTAATATCAGTTTATGAAAGAAGTAGCACCCTAGTATTCTCTGTCTTTTCTGTATGCACCCTGTACCTAAGTGAGAGAGAATGGACTGTACTGCAAGGACTGTCAGAAAAGATTACTAGAGGCAAATTGGGACACATAGACCTATTCCCCCAAAAAACCTCAACGTGCTGGCTGTTATTTTTACACAGGAAACAGTTTTGAAGACCAGGCACACTGGAACTGGAGATACAGTATGAAATTTCTTTACCTAGGCCATAGCCACTGACAGGGGTGACACCATAGTCAAAATAGGGATAATCTTCCATGTCTGATCTGTCTTCATTGCACAGAACTGGCTTCCGTAGCACAGAGTTGGTGAAAACCTTCAGGCCCATATCCTGAATGTGAAAGAATCAATCATGTCACTCGGGGCATGCACTAGCTACCAGGGTATGCCACTTCTCCCACGTGGGTTATCTTACCTCATCTCTCTCCTCCCTCCTCACATCCCACCCTTTCAACCCTGAATGTCACAACTCTTCCTCTGCAATCTCTATGTCTTTTTTATGGAGCAGTGACACCTGGTGTTCTGTGAAGAGCAGTAGTGATGGGGCTTATCATAGAATCATAGAATCATAGAATCATTAAGGTTGGAAGAGACCTCCAAGGTCATCGAGTCCAACCGTCAACCCAACACCACCATGCCCACTAAACCATGTCCCTAAGCGCCTCATCTGCACGTCTTTTAAATACTTCCAGGGATGGGGACTCAACCACTTCCCTGGGCAGCCTGTTCCAATGTTTAACCACTCTTTCAGTAAAGAAATTTTTCCCCACATCCAATCTAAACCTCCCCTGGTGCAACTTGAGGCCATTTCGTCTCGTCCTATCGCCAGTTACTTGGGAGAAGAGACCGACACCCACCTCGCTACAACCTCCTTTCAGGAAGTTGTAGAGAGCGATGAGGTCTCCCCTCAGCCTCCTTTTCTCCAGGCTAAACAACCCCAGTTCCCTCAGCCGCTCCTCACAGGACTTGTTCTCCAGACCCTTCACCAGCCTCGTTGCCCTTCTCTGGACACGCTCCAACACCTCAACGTCCTTCTTGTAGTGAGGGGCCCAAAACTGAACACAGTGTTCAAGGTGCGGCCTCACCAGTGCCGAGTACAGGGGCACGATCACTTCCCTGCTCCTGCTGGCCACACTATTTCTGATACAGGCCAGGATGCCATTGGCCTTCTTGGCCGCCTGGGCACACTGCCGGCTCACGTTCAGCCAGCTGTCAACCAGCACCCCCAGGTCCTTTTCCGCCAGGGAGCTTTCCAGCCACTAATAATAACTTAATAACTTATGTTATTATATAATAATAACTTATGTTATTATTATAACTAATAATAACATAATAATTTATGTTATGTCTTAAGCCATGGAGCCAGCAGGCAGTGGAGGAAGTGTATCAGGATACAAGTAGCCTGCATCACGGACTCAGATCTTTACTAGGAATGCCTGAGGTCATGAGCCAAGGCCATGGTTCTGCTTAGGAAATGTCTACTGAAGCATGGGCAGGATCCCAGCAAATATATCGAATGGTGATTCTCAGTCTTCCTGAGTAAGAGGTGGGGATGAGAAGGCAGAAACTGGGTGATCAGAGACTCTAGGCAGTTCCAGGCATCAGCTGGAATAGCAGTAAGTCTTAGCAGTAAGAGCCACCACCTGGGAAAGTTTAATGCTAATATGCATTAATTCTTCTGGAATACCTCCCACTTAAAAAACCACACAGCGCACATACCCTGAAAATCCTGTAGACATCGCCATCACGACTGACATTCACAGGTTCATAGTACAAGCCATCAAAAAAGGTGGTTTTGACTGGGGTACATGCCTCTGGCTTGTCATCTTCCAGGTTGAGCCCATTGTAGTAATAGCCATATAAATCGTTCACACGAAGATTGTAGTACACCTGGGAGGTGAGAACGACTAGTGTAAACACAAGGCAGGTCCCAGGCAGGTGCAAAATCACATATATTCAAAGCTTATTGTGGCCCCTGAGCAATCCGATAGACCATGGTGGGTTTGCCTAGTGATGCCTACCTAGAGATGAATAAGCAATTTGGCTGGTGATACACAAGAAGGACTGGACTCTACCTACCTCCTTCTGAGCTGCAATGGCTTTGTGGGGTGAACTTGAGCAAAAAGCATAGAGATATACTCCTGAGTTATGCAGAGTGGAGATTGGAGTCCAACAAGATACTAGCTGGCATCTACAGCTTTTTTTCTGGACCCAAGGCCTATCTGAGTCATAAAATGCAGTTTTGACATAATCACTCCCCAGGGAGGAATTATGCTTTCAAGGACTTACATTAGGTATATTCTTAGGACATGTCTTACACTGCCATGCTTTCCAAAAATAAATGTTCCACTATCAGTTTCTGTCTTTGAAGTGTACAACTGCCATAGACCTTTCTTCAATCACTGAGATGTCTGTTTCCAAGGGAAAAGTAAAAACATAGCCAGCAGCAGAGAGATCACAGGCGGGAATTGGAATGTCATTCTGGATGTCCCTAGGTCAAAAGAACACAGGACTGGGGATGTGGCTTACTCTCTCAGCAGATAACTCTTGCTCAGGCTGAAGAAGGAGGACACTCTGATCTACAGCTCTCAGGGCACAGTAGGAGTTGGGAGCAGCTTCAACGTGGAGACTGACTTTAGAGCCGGGGAGACCCTGCTTTTCGGAGAACTCGAGCTGGAGCTGGAAATGAATAAATCCAAGACAACCACACAGAAATTAGGAGAATCAGCTTGGCACATAGATCTAAATCTCACCTTTCAGCAGCACTCCATTCTCTTTGCGGCAAAGCTCCTACCACTAGATGGCCCTTTTGAATCCCTCTTCTGTAAAAATCCACAACCTCTATAATCCCCTAGTCACCTCTCTCTTCCCACTCCATTGAGAATTTAGTTTGAGTCCGAGCATACATGTCAATTGCAGGGACAGCTCCTCATGTTCCCAGGCACATCTGTACCTTTTCCATTCCTAAAGGCCATCCCTAGTGCAGGGGTCTTGATGACTCATTCCCTAACTGTTCTTTCAGCAAGGAGCCAGCTGATACAGTCCTTGATAAGAAAGCAAACATTTTCACCTTGTTTTTGAAGCATACATTGCTGCGTATCCGAGAACTGTCAGCCACTATCTCCCCATGAGGATGCACTGTGTAGAGCAACAGCCTGGCGCTGGGGCCAAGCTTCTCAGTGACAGTTAGTGTGATGGAGAATGTACCTCTGGGAGCTGTGGAAGTAACATGAAACAGGGGAGGAGAAGCCAAGAAAAGACATTAGAAAAACCTGTGGTGGAAGGACCACATATTTACCCATAACTTACCAGCACCTTTAAAAACAAGGAAGTTGGATATTGGAAGATTCATCTCTCAGCAGCTGAGGAACAGCTCCCATCAGCAAGACAACAGATACAAACTGGGGGATGCTGAGAGCAGGGTGCTTTGCAGAGAGGGGTCTGAGATGAGTAGAAGTTGGACAGGGAAATCTGAGCATGATTGCTACAAGAAGAGCACAACATTGCCTTTGGGTCTCAAACCTAGAACCTCCTACACCAGAGGAGATAGGCCAATCTCCTGACCTAAGGGAGGGCTCTCTTAACACTAGGAAATATGAAGTTCTTATCTACATGGATGACAACTACTAGAGCAGGGGCAGGAAATTAAGCTTTCACATAAGTTTTAGTGAGTCACACACTGTTATACACCTTAATATTAGCCCCGAATAATATGGAAAAACCACATGGCTTCAAGCTGATTTCATGAAGGGAAATCATGTGACATAGCTGCCTTTTGATGAATGGGATGCCTCTCCCTAAACCACAGGGGAACCTATACTGTGCAGTCATAGTGCATGAATACTCAGAGAAAGACCAAAAATGGCAAATACTAAACAACAAGTCCTATACGTGGAGTGAGGCTTACTAAAGCCACCTACTGAAGACTGGCAATAGACCAGGTTCTGCAAGAAAAGATATTTTTAACAGTGAAAGAACTAAGTTCAGTTTGTTGTGATTGGTAGGATCATTGTCATTTGTGCGTATTTGGAGACTTCTGAAAGTGCAATGAATTCCAAGCAGTTAACTGCTGAATATCCCCGTCAAATGGGACACCTATTATTTCAAACTTCAAAAAGTTTTAGTCTTCTAATCAGTGAAGACTTGGATGTCACCAAATAACTGTGAAACTGCAAATACTCCTTGGCAAGAAATAAAACAGAAGAAGGTTACATTCCTTGGTGTTTGACCACAACAAAGTTTTCATCTTTCAACGAACAAGATCAATTTGATTATGATATGGGGGATTGGCTAGATGCTGCAGCAAAACCAAATGACACTGTGAGTGGTGACAGGTCATGGGGTTTAAGAACTAGTATCTGATTTAGCTGCAGTTGTCTGCTTTCATCCTTTCTTACAAAACTTACTAATGCTCTGGTGCTCAGAATGATGCTCTGAAGTACAAGTAAGTAATATGGCCTAGAACTTACCACCAGAGATACTGACTTGCTTCTGGCCACTGAGAGTAATTTTTCCTTTTGTCATCACCTGGGCATAGAAAAAAATTCATGAGACAGGATCAAAAGCACCTCCTCCCTTCCCCCATGAAATCATAGATTTTGAGTAGTGTTCTGAGAGGCTTTAAAGGCCATCAAATCAAGCTGTGATCTGTAACCACTGTCTGGCCTGGAGATTTCTGCCTTATATGGTGTTCAAGAGAAGATGAAAGAAAAGAGGAGTTTTGGGAGTCAAGGTAGCACTTACCACATAGTAGAAGTTTGTGTGCCTGGCATTCCCGTACCCATCTCTGTTCAGGACATAGTGAACGTTGATCGTTCTCTGGTGGCCACAGCTGAGCTCCTCCTTCACTGGCTCGATTCTCACAAAGCTATTGGTCCGTGAGTAGAAACGCCAAACAAAGAATAAGGCTTGGTGCTCATTATCATTCCTCCAGATGAAGAAGTCTGCACAGTCATCTGGAGCCTGCCTGACCTATGAAGCAGAAAAGTCATACACAGGGAATCAACAAAGTGGAATATAAAAAAATGGCAGGCAGGTGAGAGGTAAAGGCATCTTCCCTCTAAAATATTCTGTTAGGAAGATGATTTTGTGGGGCTCTTTAAGCCAAGAGCAAGAGCTGATGTGAAAAATTTGTGCTTCACCAGTCTAGAGCGGGGTTACTTCTGGACACCTTAATGTATCCAGACACCTATGGCACATTGTAGTAGGGAGGTTATTTCAGATTCTTGCAGGATTGGGACAGATTGTATAAACTGCTAGGACTTATTGTGAGTTAGAATGGCATTCTTCTCAAACAGCCTTCTTTTTCTCATCACACCAGAGAAAAGGCATGAGAACACAAGAACACGATTTGATGGTAACAGGCATGAGTGTCTGTCAGCAGAAGTCCTGGGAAGCAG